TGTAAATTTTCTACTGATGATTAATGAAAGTGTTATTGATCAAAAAAAAAAAAAAAAAAAAAAAGCAAAGAGTTGGATTTTAGATTATCCTACTTAGCTCAATGAGACCAGCAAGTTTATATTCCTTAGAGATATCTAAATTACCAAGATTCTGTGTTTCCGTATATGAAGCAACCCTACTGGCATGTCTTCAGGCAACAAAGTTTCAAAATAGTCTAGTATAACTGACTAAACTGAATGGGGATTAGTGATCACTAATGTAAATGGAGAAAACAGAAAGTGGTCAGCATTTCTTTGTATAGAATATGACTGTGTAGAGCATCAGTCAGGCTTTCTCTCAAACCAAAGTTCAACACTCAGGATGAAACACGGTGCCTGCCTTGTCTGTATGGTGTTCCATTGTGATGTCACATTTTCCTGCTGCTACATCCCAAATCTTGACAGACTTGTCAGCACTTGCGCTTGCAAGGACATTCCTGAGCATAAAATTTATGAAAAAAAAGCAGCACGATCAAAAGCAATATAAAAAATATGCACATTAAACTAACAGAAACTATTTGATAGATAGAAAGTTGCATGCTTACCTGAACTCCTTGTTCCATGCAAGCCCAAGTACAGAATCAGTGTGGCTGTCCTTTTTGTATTTGACCGATGCCTAAAATACCCAAATATGTGTGGACACAAGGAGGAAGGTCATATTCAATAAAATATAAGACAGTAAGGATACAAAAACAAGCTGAAAACAAGGAAACAGTAAATGTAACTATTACAGCCTGAAGGGTACTAGAGACAGTTAATAGTAGTAAATGTATGTCCAATATGCATGGCACACAAACAGGATGTAAATCCAATGTTAAGGGTCCCACAAAGGAGATATACTTGATAATGTTTATTCCAAGTAGACAAGCACAGAAGAGGGGTTTTATCAAATTCAATTTTGATGGCAGTAGTAGGGGTAATCCAGAACCATCAGGAGTGGGAGGTATTTTCAGAAACAAGTCAGGTCTCATTATTGCCTTATTCTCAGGCCGAATTGGCTCTGG